TGAAATGCTGTCAATCTCACCAATCGAAGGATGAGGAAATCCTTCCAAGGTCCACTGGCTCTCATAATCAAGCTTAGAGTCTCCATTTGACCGGGTATTTGCTGTCAAAACTTGCCTGGGGTAGCTGACCAATTTGTTCTGCCCTCCTTCCTCTGCTATGGTACCAAATGTCCTCTGCACACTCCAGTGGACTGCCATATCATCTATGTGCATCTGGGTGGGTATGCTGTGCGCTGAGACCACCGAGGAGCCCCAGTTCAAACACATGCACTCCACAGTCAGACCACAAAGCCTACGAGTCTTCCCATGGTTGGAGTTCTGAGTCCAGGGATTCCTTGAATATGGAACCAGTGACATATATCTTATAATGAGAAATGATAAAGGCAGTGACATTTCCCTCCTGTGATTATGTTAACATGTAGAGTTGCATTCGGCTAGTAGACTTATTCTAGTGACTCTCCTTACCAACTTAATAAAGTCAAAAGCCTTACTGGGGAATCCCATGTAGCAAAGACTTGCAAGTGGCCTCCAGCCTTAAGGAAGTCGCCCAGGAACTACTAGGACCTTTATAAGCTAAGAATGACATCCAAGCAGAAAGATGCCAGGACCCTTAGTCTAACAACTGCAAATAAACACATTGTTTCAACAACCGGAAGGAGTTCGGAGATGAATTCCTCCCCGTGCAAACTGCCAGATGAGAAGGCATCAGCCTAGCTTGTGAGACTTTTAACAGAGTCCTAAATAAGATAACCAGTGCAAGTCATTTTAAGCCACTAAGTGTGCAATTTTTTATGTATGAATCAATCACTAAAATACTCTATTATACCTCTTTGATCGACTTTCTGTTATGTTCAGTCATATGTAGTTGAACTGATATATTATTAGTAAAGATGCAGATATTACCTAAGATTACTTCCAGGGAGTACTGAAAAATGAGAGTGGAGTTCAAAGAAGACAGAAGAAAAGGGCTTGTTAAAAACAGAGGAGAAAGCTGAGGTCTTGAATTTTACTCCAAAAAGAACTAAGTATTTTCATTCAAAATGCTTTTACCTGCAGATTACTTGCCCTCTTCCAAAATATCATGGGTGATAAAGCAATAGGAAAAGAAACTTTGTCACATAACCCTTTAGGGTAAATCTTTGAGTTAGTAGGAGAATGGGCAATGTATGTCTCTAAAAAGTTGTTTGTTTTTCTGGCATCTCTTGAGTGCTCAGAAAGCAAAAATGCAGCCTGGTCTGTCTGTTTAATACCAACATCCACCCTTACAAATAGGGAGTGACTATTACTTTCACATGACAGAGAGGAAATGTGGCAAGTTAGGAGGGGACAAGGCTCAAAGCCAGTCAGTCTGGCTCCAAACTCAAGATATCTGAATATGATCCTATTAAATTGTAAAAAAAAAAAAAAAAAAAGAGAGAGAGAGAGAGAGAAGTGGCCAGCACTGTAGCATAGGGAATAAAGTTGCTGTCTTTGCCCCATACAAGCACCAGTTCAACTTCCAACTGCTCCTCTTTCTATCCAGCTTTTTGCTAATGTGTCTGAAAAAGTAGTGGAGGATGGCTGTCCTCATCAGTATAGTAGTGAGTATCCCTGCCTGTCACACAGGAGATCAGGATTCCATCTCCCCACAGGGAGGCAATTGCTTCTTTTGTGGCGAGTGCCATGGTGTATCAAGTTAATCTTTTATGGGTGCTGATTCAAGCCCTGGCTGCCCCAGTTTTAATCCAGTTCCTTGCTAATGGCCTAGGAAATAGTGGAAGAGGTCAAATCCTTGAGCCCAAGCACCCATGTGGGATACTTGGAAGAAGCTCCTAACTTCTGGCTTCAGATTAGCTCAACTCTGGCCATTGAAGTCATTTGGAGAATGAACCAACGAATAGAAGATACCTCTCTTCTTCCTTTCTCTCTCTTTTCTGTATTTCTGGATTGCAAGTTAAGAAATAAATAAACCATTTTAAAAAGGAGCAGAGAATGGCCCAAGTCCTTGGGCTCCCATACCCACATAGGAAACCAGAAAGGCACTCCTGGATGTTAGATTCTGTCTGGTCTAGCCATGCATGTTGCAGCCATTTTGGAGACTGAAATTTTCTTTCCCTGTGTCTCTTTTTCTCTGTGTGTAACTCTGCCATCCAAATAAATAAATAAACCTTTTAAAAAACCATAATCCTAACACCTGGGAACAACTACAAATAACTTTGTGATGTTATTTCCCAACAATGCAGAGATTAAGCTAAGTATACAAATGTGTGTCATGCAGCCTTTTTTTTTCTTCTTGGTTAACATGCATAAGCATTTTCTTACATTATACAAAGGTCTTTGTGATGCCTTTTTTTCCTATTACCTGAATGTGCCATAATTTACAAATTCTTTCCATTATTATCCAATATTTTGGGTTAATTTTCATTCAGGTTATTCTGAACAAAGTTGTACTAGGCGTGATTTTTCATCATTTTTTCCCTATATTTTCACCATATTGGGACAGAATACCCCAAGTAGCACAATTGGCATGATTCAATCAGAAAAGTTGCATAACCAGAAGCTTACTGACACTCCATGTCCTGCCGGCTCTGGTTTGCCAGGAGAAGGCTGTGGAGGCAAGGGGAGGAAGCTGCCACGCTTGAATAGGACTCACCAGGCCCATGAATATCCCTGAGGATTAGTTCAGTCAAAAGTGACAAGAGGGACTATTTACCTTTAGAAGACTGGATTCTGCTGTCATCTGGAATATAGTGCTTCTTGCAGGAGCTATAAAATTCAAGCCTAATATTTGGTGAACTTCCCTCATGTTTGTGTTTCATAAACTGTCTCACAGCCATAGCCTCAACCCTTTTTTTATGTTCCTAAATAAACACCAGCACCTGCACATTGCTTTCTGGTGTGAACAAACTCCAGCTATCACTCAGGGTCTTAATGGTACTCACCATGTTCTTCATTTTTTCCCAAATAGTCAAAGAACAGTCGCAAGCCCGCTCTCTAATGGTTGGGCACAAAAAAAATAGGCTATTATTTTTTAGGTAAAATACATAGCATTAAGAAAAAAAAATTCTGTTATGATAAGTGACCTGGAAAAACAGTTTCCATTCCATTTGTTTAGCTATGCTTTAAATCAGAACAATAGAACCAGATGCTAGAATGGAAATGGGCATTGGGAAATAATAAAGAAACTATCATCCGCTGACTTACTGCTGTGTCCTAGGCACTGGGCAAAATCGTCCACACAGATCATTTCTTGTATCTCAGCTTGGTCTTTTTTTTTTTTTAAAGATTTATTTTATTTTTATTGGAAAGGCGGATATACAGAGAGGAGAGACAGAGAGGAAGATCTTCCGTCTGATGATTCACTCCCCAAGTGAGCGCAACGGCCAATACTATGCCGATCCGAAGCCAGGAGCCTCTTCTGGGTCTCCCACGTGGGTGCAGGGTCCCAAAGCTTTGGGCCGTCCTCCACTGCTTTCCCAGGCCACAGGCAGGGAGCTGGAAGGGAAGCGGGGCCGCCAGGATAGAACCGGAGCCCTTATGGGATCCCGGGCGTGCAAGGCGAGGACCTTAACCACTGTGCGACCGCGCTGGGCCCTCAGCTTGGTCTTCAAAGTGATATTTTGTTTGGGAAAGAAACCAAAGGAGACTTTCCCTGTTGTTGTTGTTGTTGTCGTTTTAGTTTGTTTAAATGAACATGAGTTCTTCTCCCCTTTTTCCAGAATGAAAATAATTATGCCATGTGACAAGGACAACGGTACCAGTTTTTCTTCCATTGCAGCCTCTGTGGGTACTCAGAAATCTCTAAATCAGAGCTGTGCCTTTGGACTTGGCTTAGGATTCCATACTGAATAATATATTAAAACATTTTTCACTCAGCTCTTCCATAAATATCCACCAGGTTGGATCAGACACAGTACCAGGCTCACCAGTGAGACACTCCAGCAGTTGCACCACAGTGAAGAACTATGATACACAGAATGGGAAAAAAAAATCACAAAGAAAAAACCATCTGGCCTAGCCTGGTGTTGCCAGGAATGCCTTCCAAAGAAAATGACATCTAAACTGAAGCCTGAAACGTGAGTGAAAGAAGAATGTTCTGGGCAGCAGGAAATGTGGGACATAGGTGTGGAGAGTTTCCACAAGTTGAAAATCATAAACAGCATTCAAAATTAAGGTGCTAGACATTTGAGACTGGAGATGGAGACTAGGATGGACACAAAGGATGGTGAATAAGGTTTAAAGTTTTCCTGAGCTTATTATCCACAAATCCCCATCAGATATTGCCAACTGAAAGCATGAAAGGTCCTCCATGAATATATGCAAAGAGACATCAAGTATGGGGCCTGGATAGAATCAGCATGTAATAAATATCCATTGAATCTGAATTCAGCGCAGTGATGGAAATAGGTCCCATCTGCAATGGATATAAGAAAGGGGAACTCGCTGGTTCTGTCTGGAAAATGAGAGAGGTCTTCCAAAACAGGCAAGGCTGACCTAGGTCTTAGAGATGAATGATACGTTTTTCCTATGCAATCTCCTATTAGCACACACTGAGAGTCTTTGGAATCTATCCCATCCCTAAAGATATCACTGCCTTGAAAATAAATATATTCCTGTTTCTTTTAATTTTATATGATAGATCTTTTTAGTATAATGTGGGTCTGACTTTCCTAGCGTATATGGCAAAAACTACTCCTTTTCTCCAAGAAACTTCTTTCTTAGTAATAGGACATCTGTTTTATTCAAGACAGCAATACGTCTAATCCTGAGGCAAGGTGGCAGGGAGTGATGGAAGGACACCGTTGGATCAGTACTGCTCTGTTTGTTTGGCTATTTGTTAACATTTGCCAAATACTCACCTTTCTAGGATTTCTTGCAGCTAAATGTGACCATGAGACCTGATTCTAAATAATATTCTGGCCAATTAGGTACAAGAATAAGTCAGCTGGAAGAGGATTCTCAGATGCATTTGATCCTGAAGTGATGAAATCATATAATCATCATGGGCAAAAAAATCTGTCCATAACCTATGGCACCTTTCTGCTTTTGAATACTGCTGTAATATCTGGAGGTACAGCAACTGTCATGGACCCAATCAACAAAAGAATTAATAAACTGCTGAACAAAACAGAATGAAAAAAAAAAGTCTGACAACTTGACAGTACTGAGCTGCTATTCTAATTTTAGATTATTTCCCTCCAGATTTCCTGTTACATCAAATAATCAAGTATATTTATCATAAGGTACTATAATTCAGGTTCTTTGTTCCTTGTACCCAAATACATCCTAAAAAATACAGTGATCTCCTCTGACCTGTATTTTCACTTTCCTGGGGTTTTAGTTGCACATGAGCAACGATGATCCAGAAAGATTCAGCAGAAAAATGTGTATATAAAGAATTCATAAGTTTTCAATTATACATCACTCTAACCAGCATGATGAAATCAGGCACCATGCTGTCCAGGACTTGCTGTACATGCTACCTACCCATTAGTCACTTAGTAATTGCCCTGGTTACCAGTTTGACTATTTCATTATCATGATGCTTGTGTCCAACTAAGCCTTATATGATATCTTAATAACATTTCGTAATGCCTCATCTCATTTTATCTCATCAGATATTATCTTTCATCATCACAGTATGATAAATATTTTGAGAGATCACTTTCACACTTTTATCACATATTGTTATAATTGTTCTGTCTTATTATTAATTATAGCATCAATTTCTTATTGTGCTTAATTTATGCACTACATTGTATCATAGTACGTATGATAAAACTTGTAGGAAAAACTTGGTGTACTTAATATAATATATATGGTATTTCAGGCCAAGAAACCACTGGAGTTCTTAGAAACATATTGCTTATGAAAAATGTGGGACTATCCAAGTAGCCACATGAGGACTCAAGATAACATTCTCCAAATCCTAAAATATTTTCTTCCTTCAATCCTACCATCACAATGATGACTGGTTCCTTGCCGGAAGAAGGCATTTGCTCTTCTCATTCCATGCCTACAAATATCACCCATTTCTTAATTACCTTTTGATTTTGCCCAAGCCTTTGTTCATAGTGATCCCTCTGGAGGGCTTGGCTGGCTAGAAAAGTTGAGCTTGTCAAAAATCAGAGTCAGATTCTCCTTGGCAACTGACAAGGTAAGCTGTCACCAGCCCTGTCAACAATCATAGCAGAAAGAGGGCTATTTACTCATCTAAGACCTTCATGAGTCACAGTCTAAACATTCTGCAAACCCTCCTCTGGCAAGTCATACCCTGTCCCAGTCTCTGGGGAGAGTGCTTCCCACCCAGCACCACTTCAACACAACAGACTCTTGGCTTTTGACTGTTTAATCTTTGGGCTGCACAAGTGGTCATGTTATTAATGACTCTGAGTCATCATTCAGGGCATTCCATCTCTCAAGTGTTTGTATAAAGAGGAGGAGGATGGAGGCCTACTGTGTCCCAGACAAGAATTAGGTGGCTATGCCTCTGCCTTATGTACTGTAAACCCTTCCAAATACAATTTTATTTCTTTCATGACAAAGATTCAAATTCCTTCACCTATGACCAATGCCCTCTTTTAATACAGTCTTGTTTTTGTCGTGTCAAAATCAGGCCTCAAAGGACTGTGCCATACGCAGGTAGCTCTGTCCAAAGCTAACAATACAGGAGGTAGAAGAGAAGAAACATGATAATCTTTTTATTTTTAGAGTTTTTATCTGTTTTTTACATTTCCAATACAGTAACTATGACTATACCTTTAAAGAAATTCACTAACTTTGACAGATGGCAAAGTTCATGGAAAGCTTTTCTCATTACCAATGTTTTACAAGTGTGGACAAAACTTGGTCGTCACTTCTTAAAATCTTCGTTGATCTCATTAAGTGGTGCTCTGTTTGCAAGTCTTTGTAACACCTGTTACTTCTTCCATGAGAGTGCTTATCACACTAGCCATTGAGTCATTTCCCATGGAATTGCAAGTTCTCTAAAATCAGGGTAAACCGCAAGTGTCAAGAACATGATTCTGATATTTAGCAGGCAGCTCAAATTTTATATTATATATGAGGGAGAGAGGTAAAAAAAAAAAAAGGAACCACTTTTTCCAACCTTTAATAACCAGGCAAAACCCAAAACCTACCCCAGTTTCCTAGACTTCGTCTAAACTTGTAAGAGAACATGGGGAATGATCAGAGGGATGCTTCTGATTCTCTATCAGCCTGTGGCCATGACAATACAAACAGCTTCACAACATGAATCAAATCATCTACTTTTCTGTTCAATAAAAGGGAATCTAATCTTCCTACTTACCTCACTGTAGCTATTAGAACAGAGCCTTTAATGCTTTGTATAATAATGCATAAGTTTGACTTAGAATGAAGTATTGGGGAGAACATTGAAAAATACAGACCCTTCCAGAATCCTGAACTGAATGCTAAAAGACATGGGAAAGGGCTGACACTGTGACACAGAGATTTATGTCAACGTTTGGCAAAGCTGGCATCCCTCATTAGAGTGATGTTTTGAGTTCCAGCTGCACTGCTTCCAATCCAGCTCCAAGTGATGTGCCTGCGAATGTAGTAGATGACAGCTCACGTAATTGGGTTCCTTGCTACCCACGTGGGAGACCTGAATGGCCTCACCCAGCCATTGCAGCCATTTGAAGAATAATCCAGTGGATGAATGACTTCTCCATCTCTCTGTATGTCACTTTGTCTTTTAAACAACTACGTATTTTTTAAGGTTAAAGGACATTGGTAGACAGTGGGCAAGAACATTACACAATGAAAAAAGAAAGTGTTGTCTTATTTTTTGTCCTGCAATGTCATTATCAGAAGGGGGGGTCACTTGTAAGGGAACCTGCAAGATACAACTTAGAGGTCCTCTAGCCTACTTCCAAAAAGTATGTTCCCCGACTAAAATCCTAATACAGGTGTGGGAAGCCCTCTGCAAGTGCAGATAACCAATGTCAACAGAAGTGGAAGCATACCAGTTACATTAAGAACCCCCAAGTCAGGGGAAAAGCAGCAGTCTGCAAGCTTACCTGTTACCAGATAGATCACAAGAGCCTTCTAGTACTCGACTAGAGGAAAGAAAGGCATATGAATGTAGCGAGATTAGAAGTCCAAGTGACGTGTGACTGGTCCTGCTCTCCTGTCTTCTGACTATTTGACCAACACTTGATCATTACACATTCCTAAGTCCCATTTTCTTCATTTGTAAAAATAGAAAAAATAGTTTCAAATAGCATTGGCTTGCTATAGGGATTAAATAAGATTGCATGCTCATAGTTTTTGGCCCATAGAAAAGTCTTCAATCTACCCAACTGCCATTTTTCACAAGCAAGGCAAGGACTGAAAACTCAAGTCAGTTTTCCTTCCTGTGCAATGTAACTCCCACTTGAACGTTTGCCACCAGGGAAATTCCAGGTTTTATCTGGATTTCCTCCAAGTCCGACACACTACCTAACTTTAAACCACCTGGTTCTTTCACATACAAAATACCCTCTGATTCAAACTTGAATCTTAGCCTTATCTGGTCCAGTCCAGCTTTTCATGTTTTATGTATAATTCCCATCCCTCCTGACCTTACTTTTGTATTTAGACTTTGTACCTAGAGTTTTTAAACTCTTTGGAGTATGGGTCCAAGTAGCCCTCATGGATCTCTAGATTCATCTGCTGACTTTCCGAACTTCTTCCTTGTCTGCTCCTCAAGTCTCCCAGATGGCGTCTTAGCCAAATAAACAAAACAGCAGCTGGTACAGGAATGATACCCAGGAAAACTATATGGAGTCTAATAACCTCAGGTTAGTGCTAGTCCATCTCAATTTGTCACTGGAATGAGACTGAGATGCTACGTTCAATAAAGGATAAACCTCAGGAGAAGTGATCATCTACCTCAGACCCAGGTAAATCGTTCACTGACAGACAAGTGCAGATGTGGAAGTGAACCAGCAAAACCATACAATCTGATCTGAAAATCATTTTATGCCTAAAATTCAGGCTCTCTGAAGATATGGAGTACCATATGCAGGACATTTTCTCATGTTATCCACACAACACACCATAACTTTATCATTATATTTTTCAGAGTAGCTGTGAACCTTGGATCAAATTAGTAACTTACCCAAACAATTACACATGAAGTGGCCAAGCCCATATCTGCCTCCAAGTCCAAGGTCTCAGTACTGTCACTCCCTAGCTCTAACCACAAAAATGTAAATCTCACCTTTGAATGGGCACAGTAACCATGGTGACCCACTCCATTCCTTTCTACTGGAGGCTGTTAGGTTAAAATCCTGGCCAACCAGAATACAAATAGGCTACTTTCCTCTTAAAAATCTTTCCCTACATATGCACCCTTCTGCCTAAAAAGTCCAGTATAGCACAATCATTAAATCTATCTTCTGAGCCAAAAAAAGTTCAAGGTTCAAATACTGGCTCCACTCTAAAAGTTGTATGACCCTGACCAAGCTGTTCAGATTTTTGTTTGTCCTTATGTTTCTCAACAGGAGCAGTAGAAGTGTCATAATATGTTATAAAAATCAGCAGTGTTCATGTGAGGGTTGATGCATCTTATGGGTTAGGGTCAAGGTTAGATTTTTATTACTGACATTGCAACTCAATTGCATAAAATTTCACAAGATGTTTTTCAATCTCATTAGGCAGATAAATGAATTGTGCCAGAGAATTAATATCTTGCCCACTGTCACACTGTTCCTGACACACAAGGCCAAGATTAGCAGGAAATGGCCCCCCAATTGCTCATCTATGGCCTGCTCTGCTCCTGCTCACTGAACCAAGAGTCAAAAGAAGGAATTAAGCTGTTAATGTAAAGAGTAATCTCATCTCCCCAGAGTTTGCCCTGTGACATGAACCACAGAGGCATGCCTGCAAACATTCATTTATTTATAAACCTATAGCATTAGCCTCGTCACTTAAAAGCCTTTTGGAAATGCGCTGGTTAAAAGCAGTTCAGTTTCTGTCAGAGCAACAAGTTCACACTGACATCTTTTCTCCATATGTCTTTGAAAACCTGTTCTGAGTCCCCTAATCCCCAGCCAAGGAACTTTCCCTTGCACTCCATTCTTCTAAGGTTTCCACCATTGGGTGTGGATATTCTCTGAAAGCCGTCGCTTTTGAAAAATTCCGGTGCTTTAAATCATGCCAAAAAATCAGAGGAAAAATGAATACTGCCAAAAGTTTCAACATTTACATAAACTCTTAATCAGCCCTCCAGGTCATTGCAGTATGACATATCAGCTACACTGCTGTGCAGGCCAATGAGCAGGGTCTCCGAGTCTGCTGCTTTGACGTCAGGAACTCATAGGGGCCTTGGTAAATTGTGCTGAGTGTTACTCGAGCCTGAACAGGTTTCAGCTTCTCTGCTTCTAAAAGGTCAATCTTGGGGTTGCATGCAGGTTCATTCATTCACTTAGTAAATATTTATTGGTTCCTTATAAGAGAGACCATGCTAGTGCTGGAAATGTAATAAGTCAAGGACACATGACCCCCCAATTCATGGAACTGGTAGTCGAAATGTGTGACAGACAGTAGTCAAAATAACCGTGTCATGAGAGTGTATAACCAGTACATGAACTTGGCTGTTTCTAACAGGCTTAGCGAACCAACCTCCTCCACCCCACCAACCCAGGAAATAACATTTTCTCATGCTCTGTAACGTTGGAGGTGAAAATGTTAAGAATGCATACGTGCAGGGCAGTAGAGAAGCAGTGGAGAAAGAGCAGGGAACATGAAGGCAGAAGACAAAGCCAGTGAGCTAAGTACATCTTTATTTCTGAGCAATGGGAAACCGCTGAGGGGTTGGAGCCACAGTGTCTAAGGGCATCATCATCCTAGTTATTATAAGAGATTCTCCTTTGTATTATGGGTCTTTCTCTTTAATCTCTCACCAACTGTCATAATAGCTAGCATTTCTCCAGCACGGTGTCTTTTATGCTATTTATATATATTATCTCAATCAATCCTAAGCCTCACCCTATAAAGAATGTACTATCATTATGCCCATTTCACAGATGAGAAAGGTGAGCCTCAAAGAGGGCAAATAATTTGCCCAAGACCACACAGATAGGACAAAACTGGAATGCAGTGCTCTCTGATCCCAAGGTCCAGGTTTTAAACCACCACTCAATATTGCAGGCTTTCTGTAGGCAGAAACTGAGTCCTCCTGATGCTGCTTGGTTTGCTAATGTCTGGCAATGATCATTACAGGTTTTATGGAGCTGACATGCTTGCTTCTCCAAGCCTGCTGTACCCTACTCCACACCTAATCATAGCTGATACTTCATTAGCAGTTACTGCATGACAGATTCGGTTCCCACACTTCGTGCCTGTTTGTTGATTTCAATCCTTACTACAGCCCATGCAGTAGGTACCATTATTTTCATCCTCTCTATTTTAAAGATGAGAAAATTAAGATACTATAAGGTAGATAACTTCACCAGACAACATGAATAAGTAGCACAGCAATGATTCTAATCCAGCCAGGCTTCACCCAGAACTTAAACTTTTAGCGACTAGAGACTGTTATTCCTCTTGCAATCCAACTACATGAACTTCCCTTACATTTCTTAGAAATGTGCATTGTGCCTCAGCTCCAGCCTTTCCAATGCCAACCTCTCCTCTAATTCCCCCCTCGCCTCCTTGCCTCACTCTCCAGGACTCTTGTTCAGTATCAGCTACCTCTCCCATGTGTGCCCCCCTTATCCATTGCTACCCTTCCTAGCAACCAATCCACACATCAAGAATCTCAACTGCCCCTTTCCACAGTTAACCTGAAGCTACAGAGGACAGGACCCACGCTAGCCAGATATTGCCACATTCACCACAACACCAGGAACTTGG